TAGCAAGGTGCTGCAATACAAGGCTGTCATTTTCTATTCATTGATTTTATAAGCGCATAGTAGCAGCAGGTGAGCTCTAGCTATTATATATTGTGTTACAGTCCCCTACGAGAATAATCAAAAAGTGTTTTACGTGTACGTTCTAATATAAATTTCACTTACCAAGCCCCCAGACCCATTGCTATATCATGGATAAATAATATGTTTCACCACCTGAGACACATATACATATAAATGAACCTAGTTGTCAGACCATTGTTTTTCTATTGCTGTTAACAAAATAAAAACCTTTTGTCTTACAATTCATTTAACTCGGAATGTAACTTATCATTATAAATTTCATTACCTTATTGTGTTGTTGGGGGAAGACGTCAATGAAAGGTTTACTGTAAAATAACAAATCTGTGACAGCTTGTAATGCTCTGTGGCTGACATAATATATCAAGTTAAATGCTAAATTATTTAAAGAGTTAAAAGCAGGCTATATTTGTGTCCTTGTGATCAGTATGATAACTGTGTTTTGTTCAAGGTTTTGGATATTCAAACATCTACTTGTATTAAAAATGGAAAATTGGTCTGTTTTTCTTGTACTTAGAAGAATATAATAAATCAATTGTTTTGAAATCTGATAAAAGTAAGACTTAATTAAATGTCAAAAATATCTCATGAGAAAATGTTTTCTATTATTCTGCTGTCATGGTTTTCTCCACACATGGTGTGTAGGACTTTCCATGTCACTCCTGTTAAATTGGTTAAACCTGCTCCATTGAATATGTTGATGTGTGGCATTAATAAATGTCTATGTGAAAGATAAATATTGTATTGTTGTTATTTACAAATGGCTATTGTCTCTCCATCAATCTTAACATTTTTAACTTCTGAAGAGTATGGTGAAAATGTTCCTTTTCTGGTCATGAGAAAGTGTCTTTTATTCAAACTGATTGGAAATCCAATTGGTTGTAATGCCCTACTAATTTCAAGTAAATTTCACCATCTTGAAACAAATAATTCACTTGTGACCATGTTTATTGTTGTTATTCAAAATCATCCAAGATGGCCACCCTAACTTCTGATTGGCTGAGACAGTTTCAATATCTCTTTCAAGTTCTATTTGGTCAATTTTAACCAAACTTGAAACAAAGTTGTAGAAACCTTATTCAAATGTAGACAATGCCTGCCCAGAAGTTATTTAATATCGATGTAGCAAAATAAACAATAAGATTTAAGTTAAAACTTAGACATAGTGTTTGTTTCATTCGCCGACTTGCTCACTGCAACATTTCAGGGTCCACCATTTCATCTCTTGTTGAAGCAATTCCTTTATGCACCTCCTTTACTTTATTACCAAATCTGTATCATGCCAAATTTTTCTTGGAAAATGGTGATAGTTTTTTTAGGTCACTTGAGCTTTAGCTCAAGTGACCTATTGCTATCCGTCTTCGTCCGTTGTCCGTTAACATTTTACATTTTCAACTTTAGCTGAAATACTGGCAAAGGGATTTCATTAATATTTCATGGGAAGGTTACTGACATCTCCCTGACCAAGTGTTGTTATTTTTCGGGTCGATCAGATATCCAATATGGCCGCCAAGGCCGCCATTTTGAAAAACTATTTCAAACTTAAAGTCAAGTTCTACTGGGGCGATTGAACTGAAACTTTGTAGGAATGATCGACTCAAGGTCCTGACAAAGTGTTGTTATTTTTCGTGTCGATCAGAAATCCAATATGGCCACCACGGTTGCCATTTTGAAAAACTATTTCAAACTTAAAGTCAAGTTCTACTGGGCCGATTGAACTGAAACTTTGTAGGAATGATCGACTCATGGTCCTGACAAAGTGTTGTTATTTTTCGGGTCGATCAGAAATCCAATATGGCCACCACAGGTACCATTTTGAAAAACTATTTCAAACTTAAAATCAAGTTCTACTGCGCCGATTGAACTGAAACCTGGTAGGAATGATCGACTCGTGGTCCTGACAAAGTGTTGTTATTTTTCGTGTCGATCAGAAATCCAATATGGCCACCATGGCTGCCATTTTGAAAAACTATTTCAAACTTAAAAACAAATTCTAATAGGCCGATTTAACTGAAACTCGGTCTAGGAATGATCAGCTCGTGGTCCTGACAAACTTAAGTTAACGTTATACTTATTTCAACAACAAAAATAAATACTGTAGGACTCAGGTGACCGTTTCGGCCCATGGTACTTGATCTCTATAGTAATTTACACTGCTTACAACTGCAACATTTTGCAGGACAATCAGTTTTAGTTTTACCGCAAAGGAGAACAAACAATCTCTTCAGGGTATCAGTAGACTCTCGGTTGCAGGTCTGAGGTAGAAAATCAAGAATTCACTTGATCTCCGTCAAAGAAGTTAACGTGAGCTGGTAATTAAACCTACAATACAACATAAATGTTTTGATTTTCCCAGCAAAACAAACAACAATGTACATTTGAAAATTTGGTCAAACCAGTCGAATCCAAAATTTTGTGCTTTCAAGAATTTTCGGTGTTGAGGTTCTTTCCTTACAATGCATCTGTTTGTATTACGGATCAGATATAAAATAACACCAGTACAAATAGGTTGTTCACTGTGTTATTACTATGCTCATATGGAAAGAATACACCTAGATAACTAACATTGTATGCAAATATAACACGGACAATATCCAATACATTTTGACATGTTTCATATTTTATTTTTGTTTTATAGTATTTTTTGATATAATAAAAAAAAAAGATTGATTGATTTACAAAATTACTTAGTACACAATGATTGTGGTAATTAACATGAAGCTGGAGGCTTCGATAAGGTAGCAGAGTACAGTATAGAAATGGCTTGATCCTAAAAATAAAGGGCAAGTCTCAGATATGGATAGTGGATTCATCCTGCGCAACACACCTACATATATATATATATATATATATTTATAAACTACATTTTGAATTCATTTTTTTAGAATTTTTTTTTTTTCAAAAAGTGTTTCCCCCAGATTTTGGACTTGTGAAAACCATGATTACCACATCAAAAATCACCAAAAAATGCAAAAAACATGATTTAAACCAAAAAATTAACCCCCCAAGTAGTAATTTTTCTTAAAACCTGTCTTTAATTAAATATCACCTACTTGGTAACAGAAGTACTCACGTTTTAGCATAGGTCAACCCGGTTGATTATTCACAATATTTACACATGTACCGAGTACAAAAATAGACTACATGAAAAGATAGCTTTTGTTGTGTAGACACAGATTTGTAAATGGCCAAAACTGTAGTCTCAAACCAAAGTCGATTTTTTGTTGTTGAAAAATTATGAAGCCCACATAGTCCACTTTATCATGTATATGCCAATTTTAGTGCTGATATTTCTTTTATAAATTTTGATATATGTGTTATTACAGGGGATATTCATTGTACAAAAATATTGCCCATGGCCATCGAACGCTACTGTACACTGCTACCTTAGCTGGTACAGTAAAGCATGTTATTTTTGTTCACGTTTCGCAATTTCGTCAGTCATAAATGTGACTGTGAAAGGTTATAAATGTGTACAATTATGGTAATCAAAATTTTCACTGTTAACTATAATGTCGTTTCTGAAATCTATAGTCATATATTAATAATACGTATATCTTTTATGATCTGCAATATCATGTGGCTGAATTGTGAGCACTTGTGTTCCATATAAATTATGCTTCTTATACATATGGTACATCTGAGGCAGGACTAAGCATGAAAACTTGGTCATAATTCTCAGCCATTAACTTTTTAAATCATGGAAATTGTTAGTTAAATGATTTTCAAAGAAATGGTGAAAACTAAACCCTGTGAAAACAGCCGGCAATATATATTGGTAATTGTAATCACATCATACTCTTTACGCCACACATCATTAAAATACCAGGTAATGTTTATTTTTTCACAACCTGAATCATCTCTTCTAAAGCAATGGCATATAATTACCATGGCAATTTTTCATTCATAAAAATTAAACAATAAACCATATTTACTAAAACTCCACTACAAATTCCTGCTTTAAATAGAACACATTCATATTTTGCCATCATTGAATCTCATGTACATTTAATTCTATAAAGAATTATACCCCAGCAATGCTATTGTCCCTTTGTTTTGTGCAAGTTACTGGGTTCTCACAATAAGTTGTGAAGAGATTCAATCCCGAATTCAAACACACAAACCTCACAAATAATGCTTCAGGCAATTAAGATTGGATATTTTTAGACTGACCTTTCTTTCACCAAACAATTTGAAGACAAGTCATAAAAATAAGTATTTGTGGATTGTACGAAAAATACAGTACACATTCATAACACATGTAAAATATGCATTATTACAAGTTTACAGTATCCACACATGTTTACAGTATCCATGCATGTTTACAGTATCCACACAAGTTTACAGTATCCATGCAAGTTTACAGTATCCATACATGTTTACAGTATCCATACATGTTTACAGTATCCATACATGTTTACAGTATCCATACATGTTTACAGTATCCATACATGTTTACAGTATCCATACATGTTTACAGTATCCATACATGTTTACAGTATCCATACATGTTTACAGTATCCATACATGTTTACAGTATCCATACATGTTTACAGTATCCATACATGTTTACAGTATCCATACATGTTTACAGTATCCATACATGTTTACAGTATCCATACATGTTTACAGTATCCATACATGTTTACAGTATCCATACATGTTTACAGTATCCATACATGTTTACAGTATCCATACATGTTTACAGTATCCATACATGTTTACAGTATCCATACATGTTTACAGTATCCATACATGTTTACAGTATCCATACATGTTTACAGTATCCATACATGTTTACAGTATCCATACATGTTTACAGTATCCATACATGTTTACAGTATCCATACATGTTTACAGTATCCATACATGTTTACAGTATCCATACATGTTTACAGTATCCATACATGTTTACAGTATCCATACATGTTTACAGTATCCATACATGTTTACAGTATCCATACATGTTTACAGTATCCATACATGTTTACAGTATCCATGCGTGTTTACAGTATCCATACGTGTTTACAGTATACATACATGTTAACAGTATCCATGCATGTTTACAGTATCCATACATGTTTACAGTATCCACACATGTTTACAGTATCCACACATGTTTACAGTATCCATGCGTGTTTACAGTATCCATGCGTGTTTACAGTATCCATACGTGTTTACAGTATCCATACATGTTTACAGTATCCATGCATGTTTACAGTATCCATACATGTTTACAGTATCCATGCGTGTTTACAGTATCCATACGTGTTTACAGTGTCCATGCATGTTTACAGTATCCATGCATGTTTACAGTATCCATACATGTTTACAGTATCCATGCGTGTTTACAGTATCCATACGTGTTTACAGTATCCATACATGTTTACAGTATCCATGCATGTTTACAGTATCCATACATGTTTACAGTATCCACACATGTTTACAGTATCCATACGTGTTTACAGTACCCACACATGTTTACAGTATCCATACGTGTTTAGTATCCATACAAGTTTACAGTATCCACACATGTTTACAGTATCCACACATATTTACAGTATCCATACGTGTTTAGTATCCATACATGTTTACAGTATCCATACAAGTTTACAGTATCCATGCATGTTTACAGTATCCATACCAGTTTACAGTATCCATACATGTTTACAGTATCCATACATGTTTAAAGTATCCATACATGTTTAAAGTATCCATACTTGTTTACAGTATCCATACAAGTTGACAGTATCCATACATGTTTATATTTTCCATATAAGTCTCAGTATCCTGACCAGTTTACAGATCCATATGTGTTCACTTAACTGTTAACAATACATTTTCACAGCATCCATCTTTATTCACAGTAGCCATATCACATTATTAATGGCACACATATCCTCCATACATGTTTATAGTAATAATGGCGTTCACTATATCCACATGAACACTTTGTATTAAAATATTCATTAAATGATCTTGTGAAAAATAAAAACGGCTATCATAAGCTTAAAAGAATTGATGATGGATAAAAATATTATACTGTACCAATAAAATTTCATTTCATTTCACAGCAAATAGTTGGTAAATAAATATTGGACTCAATAAAATATATCAAATATTGAAAACTTTTCTTACATGACAAGCATACAATGTAGCACTAATATTTGTCAGAAATATATACTAACAGATATATCATGCTTTAAGGATAACTGGCCACTGGACTCTCACCTTCCTCTTTCTGATACTCTTATACATTATACATATGTACTTACAATTATACATACATCATTGTATGCCTAACTGCGAGTACCAAAGCCTGATGGCCTATGTGTAGACATTTTGACAGATGGCCATAGAGCTACTGACCCTTGTCGCTTTGAAACTTGAAAAGTTATGGCCTGGGCTTGCATCACAACTTTAATCTCTCAAAACTTCCTGATAAAATTTCGAAATGTACTTTTTCAAAACATTACAGATATATATAATATTTATAGATATCATTCCATGACTGATTATTAAGCTTGATAATTCCATGACTGATTATTAAGCTTTAATAATTCATTCTCCAATGTTACAACAAGCTGCTCAAGTTAGGGTTTGATTGTGACACTGGGACATAATACGTACTGTTCATATACTGAATCAATTACAAACCTCTCTAAAATGACTGTGTCCTTTAAATAACTTGAAATTTATTATCACATATACATAAAGCTGTCAACTTCAATCTCACACGCACGCTTCTAGGCAATGAACAAATCTCTCGATCAGATAAGATGACATTCAGTAATATATTCTAAACTAAATTGTACTTAAATAAATTCTTATCCCAATCAACAACCAGTTGCTTTAATTTTAGACCACAAACGACTTTACAGGAATGTAGCTTTACACGGTGTATCAAGCTACATACGACTTTACAGGAATGTAGCTTTACATGGTCCATCAAGCTACATACGACTTTACAGGAATGTAGCTTTACATGGTCTATCAAGCTATGTTGTTTTCAGATTAATGACTGCATAAACATATACAACAATTCGATTCTAGGTGACTTCAATTTATCAAAATTGCCAGTCTTTCCAATGAAGATAAAACCACTAATTTGAATTCCATCAGTAAGCAATTATAGGATACCTTCTTATAACTCATTATAAAGTTCTAAATTCTGTTGACATATTATTTCCTGTCGTATGATTTCTATAGCACTCTTCAGAGGATCAGTACACTACCTTATTTGATTGATGGTCCATCGATAAACATCACAAGCGTTTGTAAAACTTCCTTATGAGTTGATTAAATGGTTTTATAAACGTTGGCAGTCAATTAGCCATTGGTACACATGTACTATGAGTTTGTGATAAATTAATTAAGTAGACCAATGTGGTACAGTGCTCTTTTCTCCCCACACCCAACTGATTTAAACAGCATTTTCTTTATGATAGCTTGTCTCAACACATAACTACAATGTTTACTTGTACTAATGTGACGAGACAAGCTGGGCTCTATGGTCACAGTAAGAATTTAAATTGACTGTTTTCTTACATGGAATAAAACAAATGACACCCATCCCCTACAAAAATGCCTTAATATATTAGTTTTGGGTTAAAAACAAAATTTAAATTTCATTGTGTACAAATTAAAAAGTATTGCGATAGTTTTGTCTCCAGTTTTATTCATGGCTATCCCCATCCTTGTTCCGGCTGAAGTTCATGGATGACCGCATGTTCTTTAATTGTGAGGTACTTGAGTGAGTCTTGCACTATTTCACTGATGTGAGTACCGTACTCCATGAAGAGGAGATACTCGTGAAGGATGGAAGGCACAGGAAGACTACACACACTATCCTTGTTGTAACAACCTGACGACGCAAACTGTTGTACCACCTTCTTACGACAGGCATGAGACAATGTCCCGCTGGAATCTGTAAGATACAGACAGGACAATGAGTACTACATTAAAGTCAAGCATTATAATGATGCCGAAAATGTAGCCTAACTTGAAATGATTACCACACAGATCAAATAATACAAGCTTTGATGCAAAGTACTGTGTACATGTATGTATACAAAAACGTCAAATCTTGAAATTGAACAAAATAAACATGCTGAAATTTGACCAAAATATCAATAAAACATACATGTATGATATTCAGATATGTTTCTCTTCTCCATTATATCCTATTGCAAAACCTGTGTCTATAACAATACTAAATAGCGAAATTAAATACCATCCCAATGTTAACTTTTCAAACATCACAACAGAGTCCTTGACCTCCCTGGTCAAATATCTTTATGTATGACATTTGTTTATTTGAACATACAAGTAAACATCACAGTTACCTTCAATCTAACAAACAAGTAAACATCACAGTTACCTTCAATCTAACATACAAGTAAACATCACAGTTACCTTCAATCTAACATACAAGTAAACATCACAGTTACCTTCAATCTAACATACAAGTAAACATCACAGTTACCTTCAATCTAACATACAAGTAAACATCACAGTTACCTTCAATCTAACATACAAGTAAACATCACAGTTACCTTCAATCTAACATACAAGTAAACATCACAGTTACCTTCAATCTAACATACAAGTAAACATCACAGTTACCTTCAATCTAACATACAAGTAAACATCACAGTTACCTTCAATCTAACATACAAGTAAACATCACAGTTACCTTCAATCTAACATACAAGTAAACATCACAGTTACCTTCAATCTAACATACAAGTAAACATCACAGTTACCTTCAATCTAACATACAAGTAAACATCACAGTTACCTTCAATCTAACATACAAGTAAACATCACAGTTACCTTCAATCTAACATACAAGTAAACATCACAGTTACCTTCAATCTAACATACAAGTAAACATCACAGTTACCTTCAATCTAACATACAAGTAAACATCACAGTTACCTTCAATCTAACATACAAGTAAACATCACAGTTACCTTCAATCTAACATACAAGTAAACATCACAGTTACCTTCAATCTAACATACAAGTAAACATCACAGTTACCTTCAATCTAACATACAAGTAAACATCACAGTTACCTTCAATCTAACAAACAAGTAAACATCACAGTTACCTTCAATCTAACAAACAAGTAAACATCACAGTTACCTTCAATCTAACAAACAAGTAAACATCACAGTTACCTTCAATCTAACAAACAAGTAAACATCACAGTTACCTTCAATCTAACAAACAAGTAAACATCACAGTTACCTTCAATCTAACAAACAAGTAAACATCACAGTTACCTTCAATCTAACAAACAAGTAAACATCACAGTTACCTTCAATCTAACAAACAAGTAAACATCACAGTTACCTTCAATCTAACAAACAAGTAAACATCACAGTTACCTTCAATCTAACAAACAAGTAAACATCACAGTTACCTTCAATCTAACAAACAAGTAAACATCACAGTTACCTTCAATCTAACAAACAAGTAAACATCACAGTTACCTTCAATCTAACAAACAAGTAAACATCACAGTTACCTTCAATCTAACAAACAAGTAAACATCACAGTTACCTTCAATCTAACAAACAAGTAAACATCACAGTTACCTTCAATCTAACAAACAAGTAAACATCACAGTTACCTTCAATCTAACAAACAAGTAAACATCACAGTTACCTGCAATCTAACATACAAGTAATCATCACAGTTACCTTCAATCTTCTTTAGTAATCTGTCCGCCTTGAACTGTTGTGCCAGAACACATAGTTTTTCGTCCAGAGACACATTACTTGTGAAACACAATATTAGAACAAGAAGAGGAAACAGGTTGGTCCACACAATAGTGTCCTGTAACACCTGGTGTAGGTCATATACCAGTTCCTCCGTGATAACGTTGAGAGCACTGAAACAAGACTGGGCGTTAGCACCGGCCATCAGTAATGGAATTAGATATTTCCCAAACAAGTTCCGTCTTGTTTCCATGTCTATCACAATCAACTTTGGCAGCAAGTCATTTCTCAATGCCAAAAGAATGGGGAGGTTACCCCCAACACGTTCATGGTAAATATTGGGGTTAGCACCATACTTCAGAAGAAGCAGAAACAGATCAAAATCCGCCTTCGACAGAGCAGATATCAAGGGAGGTAACTCCTGTGGGTTCTGTATATTGCATGGAAGACCTGCACGGAGGAGGAATTCAATTCCTTGACTGGGCCAGTTCTCCTCCATGTGACAGAGCACAGAGGCGCTGTTATCATATCTTAGCACAGTAAACAACAGATGTTGGTCCATCTCAAACAAGTCGTGATTCAATGGAAGAAATGCTTTCACATTCAATCCTGCAGCAATAAGGATTTCCAGGCAGGTTGTGTTTTTCAATTTTAAGCCAAGTATTAATGGATGCATCATGGTGTTGACCGAGTTGAAGAGAACGTCTTGTCTTGTTACTGGTAACACCAACTGGAGGCACCTGATGTAAAAGTGATAAAATCATATCATGTATTGACATGGCATGGTCCTAGTGACTTCGGTATTGAAGAAATCTTATTTTGATTTCCAACAATGGTCTATTCTAAAGAATCCCCAATACATGTATAGGATCAGAGACTTATCTGAAGGTTGAAACAACATACAGAAATTCTTTAATAATGTTCCAAAATAACATAATAAATGTGAACTCAAAACATCAGTCTACAAGTGCATGTGAATATTGAAATATGTGAAATATTACAAACCTGATTATGAACTGCTTGAAATTCAAAACAAATAGTAAATTCAATTTTTTGTGAATCTTTCATTACACAGTTTAAGCCTATGTACATACATATTCAAACTTTATTTTAATATTAACTCAATATGGAGGGTGCCAATAGTGGATCACTAAACCAACCTTTTTTCATTTTTTGTCAAATCCATATACTAAATTACATATAACAATGGTTACATCGCGGAATGAATATAAAAGACCTAATTGAATGAATTAATGTTCACGTGGAGGGGGGGTATGTAGGCTCTTAAGTAATAAAGTTTCCTTAAACAGACCACTGCTCAGTATTTTTTGTAAACTGTACTGATCTGCGTGGGGTACACTCATCATGGACATGATAATTATATCTGGAAATCAATTTTAACTCTTAAATATGTCGCAACAAGGATCTCAAAGGTTTGCCAAACACCCAGCAACTTTGACACAGAGGAACAGGTTTGACTGTAAGTCAGACGACTCAAACCTTGGTCTATCCTTGTACACAGCAAAGTGAGCAGCCACAGCATTAAGGTCATTGACAGGAATGTTGGGGTCAGCACCGTTAGTAAGCAATAGACGTATGCAGTCTTCATGGCCCTCCTGGGAGGCTATCAGAAGGGGCGTTGCATGGTCATGTGTTGTTTTGTTCACTAGATCCAATTGACCTGAAATCACACAGAAATCAATATCACATTAAATAATGATGTGAAGAAGTCAATCTTAGGTCTAGAGATTGAACCAGTAGTTTTGTTTTAGTCAAGTGGTGGTGAATGCAAAAATATCCATGCAAAATATGTTTTTTTTTATGAATTTGAATAAATCCACCCATATCAGTCATATCTCGTTGCCACTGGGCATTTCATATTTTTATTTATGTTATTGCTATTATACAGTGTCACAGTAAAATGCTGTTGCTTTTTCCTAAAGTACATCTACATTAGTGATAGAAACAATGTATTTAATGTTCTTGTGGTTCAAATTGACACAATTATATATTAATAGACATCATCAACATATTTCTGATGAGCTTTAATGGGAAAATGGAGGCAGAATGATGAGGCTTTAATGGGAAAATGGAGGCAGAATGATGAGGCTTTAATGGGGAAAATGAAGGTAGAATAATGAGGCTTTAATTTATGATACCTTAAGGAGCAAAATAAAGAAAATATAGATCTAGTACAAAACAGCTTTAGTATACAGGCAAGAATCAATGAAATAAACATGGTTTAGTAAGGAGAAGCCGGAATTCGTTACCCTTTTCCCTGGCAGTCTGTAGGAGGATTTGTAGGCAGTCCTTGTGGCCAAATTGTGATGCGAGAAATATTGACGTCATGTCCACGTCAGCACACACATCAAGTCTGGCTCCATGTTTGATTAGATAGTCGAGGATGTGGGTGTAGCCCCGCTCAGCGGCGGTATGGAGTGGTGTAAACCCTGTGTAATTCTGGTAGTTTATCTGAACTACTGCACCCTTCCTCATCAACAGTCTCACACATTCAAAACTATCTGCACCTGTCGCTACAATTTGAAAGAAGAGAATCCTTTAAATTACTGCACTGATTCATATAATTACAATACATACTTTGAAATTCATTATATTCTTTATTTTACTGAGATTGTTTTTCAGCAGGAAAAAGAATGCAAAAATAGTGCTTTGCGAGGAGGTTCAAAGTGAACATTAAACCATATGAAACAGATCACTACAAAGCAGAAAATAAATCACCACTGATAAGCATCAACGTTAGCACATAATTCTTACACATTTCTATGGCTACTACTGTAATTAAAATCAAACTCATGTGCATATAATCTTTCAAGTGCTTTTCATTTTTCTTCATTCAATCTATAAATTGGACTTTATCTTTTTACAATATATTATTACACAAAACATAAGTAATATTGAACATGATTATATCACTATCGTTATTGAAAATAGATATGTATTTACCCTCCCACAAGGGTGTGAACATTTCCTTAGTTTCTGCTGTTGGATCAGCATCACAGTCCAGCAAAGTCCGCACACACTCAAAATGGCCGCCGCGTGCTGCCAAGATCAGAGGAGTTTCGTTTTCAAAAGTTCTCCATTCTGGGTCGACCACATCTGGGTATGAAAATATTCATTGTCATATATAGCTACACATATCTTATTTTTTTACAACTAGGAGATATACTTTCTTTAAATATGTTTTCAGGTATTTCTTTTTTTTATCTGGCCACAAGTGATCCCTTAATCAAGAGAATATATCTGGCAGTAATAGATCAATCACACAATACACAAGAGCTGGCCATGGAGTACACAGGACTACAGCAGCTTTGTAGCAGCCAACCCAGATAATTCCACATCCAGATATTCATTTCAGTTTCAGAAGTTTCATTTTACAAGATGTGGCCTGTAATTATCATGATAGAGAATGCTTGAGTTGTTATAAAGCATAGTCAATTTTTGAAATTTATCATATATTATGCTACTGTATTATTTTGGATAACTGGATAATGTTTCTGCTAAATTGATGCGAACATTCATTGTAACTAGAAATTATAGAACATAAAGATTTATATGGCAGATGTTTGAAATACATTACAATAATGTAGTCCGTACTCTCTTTGGCAACCATACTAGCATCCAGGGGTGCACAATTGCACAAGCTGTAAGCCTTATACTGAGGGAAATTATAGATTCAATATCTACCATGAAAATATAGACCTAGCTAGTAAACTTTTAACTTTTATATGTTTGACCGGCTCTTTAAATAAGAAATTTTCAATTCTTGATATAATGATCTAAGAAGGATTACAATACCTTTCTCCCGGTGACTCTAGTGCTACACTCTATGGAGAAATACTATATAATTTCACTCTTCTCTTGAGATACATGTAGTAAAGAGTTATGCCAGCTACAATTATGAAATAGCTCTGTTATACTGACCTTGACGTAGAAGGAACTCCAGACAGCCCGAGTGACCATGGAAGGCTGCTTCATGGATTGGTGTCCAGCCCCTGTTGTCCTTCACATCGACCGGTTTCCCTACAAATTGTGGAGTGGTTAAGAGTGTACATCAAACAAACATATCATATCTGTGATTGTTTTTAAACTATATGTCATTGAAATGTGTACAAAAAAATAAAGGGTATCTCACATGGTCAAGCATCTAATTAATTCATACTAACTCGACCAGAAATACACATTAGTCTAAGATTCCACACAATGAGCAGTAGATGTATCAACCAATGAAACAACCAACTAAGTTTAAAATCAAGATTGAATAAACGATGGTTTAGAATATATCCTTATACTAGTATTCAGCCCTGGTTCATTTGTCACTTGACATTAAATATAAACATCATATCCCCTTGGCCCCTTTATGGTAAAATCAAGTTATGACAGATGGACGACACTTGACGGATGGAAGACATACCTGGTAAGCTCACCCTGGTCCGTCTTACCAGGCAAGATAAAGATGGGCACTGTGACTGTATCATATGAAAATATTATTTTTGATACTTTGAGTCATGACATCGTGTGTATTCTAGAATTGTTTTCACTGTAGTAAATTTAAGTGATAAATACGTTTGTGTTATGTACTTTTAATACTCACTGTGCCACACCAGGTCCTGGACACATCCCAGGTCCCCCATGCGAGCAGCCATACCCACAGAGGAACACGTATCGGTATAGGATTCGGTAAAATCCATGATTATTCTTCCCTGAAAAGTACAGAAGCCAAATTGTAACACTCTAGTGAAATATAATCTGCATAAATTTAAGAACACAGTGGTATATATAATACATGTAATAGCCTACAAATCAATTATCCTTTTAAATCGTACAATATACATTTTAAGGTCAGGATTAGCATAGATGAAATGTTTTTACTATGATCAGGTCAACAAAATAGTTAATCTTTGTGGCCAGAAGTTTGAAACTGGTAGTCTGGAGGCAGGACATTGTTTCGTTAATGTTAAGAGAGATTTAATGTTTATTATGTCATATCTTTTTCATAATGTTTCAATTTACTGCAGCATAATATAAATCATCGAGTCTTATTATCTTATATATAATTCCATAATAGACAGTTGATCTTCCACATTTGTCAAGTGTATTGTGGTCATCTGTTATTTAAGTCTCACGTCAGAAATATCTTCAATTGAAAAATAAGCTGAACTTATACCTGGGACATGTACAACTGTATTATTCAAGAATTTTGACTACCAAGGTTTAATTTATTGCCAGAGACCAAGCCCAAGAATCACTGTCCCTATAGAATCATGGCTAAAGGCCCTGAACTCTTCATGCATACATGTACATGTGGATGCCTCTGAAACCTCCAGTGAGTGATCGATATATATATATGGGATCTCCCTCATTCCACATTTCCAATGAAGGAGAGAGTGCGTGAAACATGACTGAAACAAACTTGCTCAATTTATCTTTCCCTTTTTATGTATCAAAGAGACACCGAGGCAACGCACAGTGGAAACTGGTGAGACACATGAGGATTACGGTCAGGAGGCACACCACAGCACTGAGGACCTCCACGGCCCCGTGGAATTGCTTGACGACACTATACATCAAGCGGAGAATGACCCAACGCCCACACAGCAGGATCTCCCGCAGCAGAGACCTAGCAAGGTGAAATGACCAGCAATGGACAGCAAGGAGTGGGATGTATTTGATGAGGATCTGGAAAAGATACTGGAAACATCATTGATTGGCAGCGTAGAACGGAAGACAGAGGCAATGACCAGACTAGTGTATACTATCGGGAAAGAGCGATTCGGGGAATCCATGGTAAAAGGTTTGCCAGCACAGGATCAAGTTGTAACACCTGATAGAAGAGAGAAGGAAATACAATGGATCGGAGGAGAACTGTGAACCTGGGCGAACGTTACAGAAGGTCAACTGACTCAGCCCTGCCAAGGACTGTTGGCAGGGCTGAGTCAGTTGAGGAGACCAGTTGAGGGAGCGGCAGAAGGAGTTGAGGAAAGCGGAGCGGATCAAGAAAGCCCAGAGAGAGAAGACCAAGAAAAGGGCAGCATTTATATCAAACCCATACAAGTTCACAGCAGCAGTACTGGAAGGGAGAAAATCAGGGAGACTGCAGTGTCAGAAAGAAGAGGAAGAAGAACATCTAAAAGCAACTCATGGGGATGAGGAACAGAATGCACCCTTGGACCAAATGAAAGAATCCAGCCAGTGAACCAACCAGACAAGCCAATGGAAATAAGGGAACCAACCTGGAAAGAGGTAACAGAGGTTGTGAAGAAAGCATCAGCACCAGGACGACATCCCATATAAGGTGTATAAAAAGTGTCCCAAGCTTTTATGCAGGCTGTGAAAAATGATGAAGGTAGTCTGGAGGAAAGAAGGGATTCCACCATGTTAGCAAACTGCAGATGGCTGCTTTGTTCGAGGAGAACTCGCAAGGAATTGGCCAGTTCAGGACGATATCACTTCTGAACGTTGATGGCAAGATATTCTTTTCTGTACTTGCAAGAAGAATGACAACATATATGACGACGAACGAGTATGTGGATACGTCAGCACAGAAGGGCAGTTCCAGGATTCTCTAGAGCATACAAGCGTGATAAGCCAGCTGATCAGGGAGGCCAAGGTGAACCGTGGAGATCTGACAGTGGTGTGGTAAGATCTGGTGAACGCATACAGCACAGTCCCACACAGCCTATTAGGAAAGGCGCTGGACCAGTACCATATCCCGGATAAGGTGAAGGGCATCATACAAAGTTATGGAGGAATACATCTGTGATTTGCCGTTAAGGATTACGTGACTTCATGGCAGAAGCTAGAGAAGGGAATTGTCACTGGATGTACAATTTCGGTAGTGCTTTTCATGATGGCAATGAACATGATCATTGAGGCAGGGAAAAGGGAGACGAGGGGCCCACTATCCAGAAAAAAACATCTCACCTTGCGATCTTACAGAGTGAAAAAGAGGCAAAATTCTGAAGATAGCCTTATATTGCCAGGATAACATCAGTTCTCTGTGGACCTGAGGTATAGACATCCGACGTCCAACGATAAATACAGACTATAATGTCCAACGATTAATACAGACTATGTCCAACGATAAATACAGACTATAATGTCCAACGATTAATACAGACTATGTCCAACGATAAATACAGACTATGTCCAACGATAAATACAGACTATAATGTCGAACGATTAATACAGACTATGTTTGTTTGTGAACTAGATCCTTAATTTACCATATAACAGTAATTCTCACTTCATATACATCATGTATGTTCAGTTGTTCAATAGTCGCATATGAGGAAGTTTGTTGAAAGTCATTAATAGTAACATCCAACAAAATCATGTGGGTTTTGCCATGGCCTGGTTTCACTCGCCATAGCATAAAATGCCATGAGCAGTTGAATATCATAGAATCGTCGCGTGTTAGATGCAATGTACCTGTTTTGTATGATCTATTTTCAAATTCTTGTCGAAGCAGACCATGACTGTGTATATGTGAGCTCCACAGTTTAATATCTTGCAATCCTATACAACTAGCCAAATTAGCTTCAACCAAATGGTACCTTGATTTCCAATCTCCTTTGTATGATAGACTTGCTTAATAATGTAAAACTGCTGCGATAAACATACTGGATAACAGAATGTGGAAATGTTTAAAAGGATTTTGTTTGTATGGTAAGCCTATACTTGCCTCATGGCCAATAATCACCTAATTAGTAATTACAATAGTGCACGGTTTATTTGAATTAAAAGTGTGGGTTGATTGATAAAATTATGGCACTTAAGTCATTTTAGATTCATATAACTGATCATAAAAATCAATTACCAGCTATATATAATAATCATGAATATTGCATGAACGCCAACTTTCACTTATTTCTTCAAGAATACTTACAGAGTGTATTTTGGAATGAAATGAATTGTTTGGACTTTGCTGTTCCATGTTATATAAGGTTTATGGCTGGTAACTTGTAAACTGTAATCATCGTGGAATTTCTGCATCGTTTGCAAATTCTAGGTCTAGCCTTGTTCTCTTGGAGCATGGTTTATTATTGTGTTTCGGTGTCCAATTTGAAGAGCTTTGATTGGTCAAAATTAAAATATCATATTTTCTGCGGGACTTCTTTTACTGTAAAATGTACACTTCCGGAAAGGAATCGCAAGTTGTTCGATCGTTTGCATTATCGCTACGTACATAACCGAATGTGTGCTTTCCTTTAAGCATTGTCAGTGTTTACTTCCAGTAGGCATAATTCATTAAAGACAAATTTGGGAGTAACTGTCTGCTCACAATGGGATCTAAAAAACACAAGGAAAGAGACAAGGATCATAAAAGGAAACGCCGGCACAGGTCAAGATCGCGATCAAAAGAAAGAAAACGACATCGTGGCGACGAACGTTCTGAACAAGGACCGGAGAATAACTATGAAGATGACAACTATGGGAGGGATATAGAAACATTTGATTATAACCATGGTTCTTCACAACATGTTGAAAAATGTAAATGAATTCATGAGATAATCGAGATGGGGGGTGGGGGGGGTGGGTGTGTGTGTGTGTGTGTGTGTGTGTGTGTGTGTGTGTGTGTGGTATGTTTGACAATAACATCATCAGTGATCAATCTACAATTCATTTTTACGAGCTTAAAAATGTCTGAAATACGCATAGGCTATACTGATATGGCTCACAGCACACATAAACCCCCGTGGTTCAATCACAGACATACGTTTCTGGTTCAATGTGTGTTTGTAAGACAGAAAAAGGAGATACGTTGATGGAGAAATAAATCTTTTCCTCCCTTAAACGCTGTCTGACTATATTTTGTCTTACTCTGTAACATGAGAAAAAGAATTGCAATGGCCAGAACAGAGTTCGAACTCAGAACTCAAGATGGACGCTCTACCAATTGAGCTACCTGGTTGCCATCGATCGACCCAGTCCAGTTCCGCTACACTCTGTAACAGAGTCAAATGGAATTATTAGATAATGTCTTGTGAACTAGTAAAGTGAAGGCCCAGAACTGAGGTGACAGTACCCAAATTGGATCACCAAACCATCATTTTATTAAATCATTGCAAAATCTGAGCAGGAATTATATTCATTTATAGTTTTATCAAAGGAAGAATATCTATGGGTGTTCTTACAATCGAAATTAGCACCCAGGGCTCACTTGAGATATGTATAGAACACTCTGAAGTCACCAATCAGCGTCTCCGGTTTTTGCGAATGTCGAGACCCAAATCAGATCAAGGCTTAAATTTTGCAGTATCTTACGCTTCAAAGGAATAGTTTCTTGTCAGCATATTAACATTTTATGATGACCTTTAAAATTTATATGACAAAAAGTATTTCTATAGTGTGAATTTATGCCTATAGTCCAAAACAGAATGCATAGTCGTTGCACACGCCATTTTTTAAAAACGTGATCAAAACACTGACATTTGAGTTTGAATTACGTTTTCTTGTGCTATTTGAACTTGAAAACTAATCATCTGTAGACAAAAAATGGTACATGGCTATCTATTCTAAGACTACATCATTGTTATAACTGATTTGTTGACACATTTATTTACTTATAAATATTTTTGCAAAAAGTGATCTGATTTGGGTACTGATCCGATTTGGGTACTGCCTCCTTATATATACAGTTAGTGTAGATTTAAAGCTTGTTACAATATTGAGTTTGGATATACTACTAGTCCAGCTCCAAATGCTAAAGAGTGTCCGGTGATGGACTAGGTAGGAAAAAATGGACTTTGAGACTAGTTAGGATAAAATCAGTCTTGAAAAAAGAAGTGCTTTGACATTAGATCTTAGCAACACATTCATTTCCCACATGCAATGTAGCCAATGGAGCTGCACACTTACGCTTTCAACCATGCATTTGCATTTATATAATAGACATATCAAGCAAAAACTTAAATAGTTTTTATGTTGAACAAATTACCATTGAATTTATAAAAGAGAATGATTTTTTCACAAATAAAACATCAAAATAGCACAAGGAAGCTGACTTAGTGTTATAGCTAGCATTAAACAGGTTGGGAAATCCTCAACTTTCTGAGATGTCTTGAAAAATCAGGATGTACCCTGCCTACATGTGGTACTAGGCTTACTGATGCATTTATCATATAGTATTATTTATGTTGTAAATAATAAACTGGTCCTTTTTTTTGCATATGCATTTCTATGCCACCATTGCTAGTAAAATTATAAAGCTTTTTAATACTGAGTTGAATCCATACACATGTTTGATAATCATGCTGTAATTTATTTCGTCACTTGATACATTGTACTTTGTTTTGTAGCACAACCCCCATCAGCATCAGGAGGAGGTGAAGCTTCCTTAAGCATTGCGGAGACAAAGTAAGTTCAGTGTTAACTGATCATTTTGACCTCCAATTTAAAGGGTGAATTGCTGTGGAGCATGAATTGTCGAAGACATTTATGAATTATAACACCACTGAAATTATCTCGATACTCATTTATTTATTTTCAGGCAACAATAAGTCAAAACAATGAACAATGAAAGTAAATATATGTATGCATGTACATGTATGTGCAGAAACAAATAACAAAAAGTTGGAAATAGGCAAAGCTGCAATATCTATTTTTAGGTCACCTGAGCTTTGCTCAAGTGACCTATTCCNCTGGGCACACATTTAAAATGAAGTTTTATCTGACCTAGTAAGTATGTACATATACAAATTCATTATAAATAATCCACTGGTGACCCTGATAAAATGATGTTATTGTGTTGCAAGACTGGGATGGCCAGCATGGTCGCTGATCGACTTGAGTAGTTTTGTTTTCTGATAAATCAGACTTGGGCCAAATAAAAATATATGTGTGTTTCCTGTTTCGGCTCTAAAAAAAATAGGGTAGGTAGGTAGGAAAAATATTTCATTTTATTTTTTCATTTTTTTTCTTTTTCTGATGAAGAAAATCTCCTGATTACTTCTGTGAATGTTTAAAAATATGCTATTGTTTTTATAATTTTTGATTCATGTAAAATAAATACACTGTAAATATAACAATATTAATGCATGCACAGTTTTTGTGTTGAGCAGGCTCAAACGACACATTGAAGTAAATTCCTATTTGACCCATCTAAATGATTTTGGAATAACCAACCGTAATTTACAGTAGTGCTACTACCAGTGTTACACTTCTAAATTATCCCTACAGCTGGACACTAGACCTAGTTTTTAGTAATCCAAACTCCACTAATGGTCACCAGTGTTATGTTTTCTTTTGTATTACTGATACATGTACTTTCTGTTCTCAATTTCCACTGCCTCCAGTTAAGATTAATTGAACAACAAAATAAGTATATTTATATTTACACTATATTTACAACACAAGTTTTTTAATCTGTCATAAACTATACAAGTCTTCACTATCAGGAACTCAATCTCTCCACTTCAAACTTAATTATCTTGAACTGTAAAACTGCACAGATCTACAAACTACAGCTAAAACTACTATTATTACTAACTTCCTAGCTAATTCTCACTTATAACTCTAACTTTCTAACTGTCCTCTATATCTTTTGACCTCTCAACTGGGTCTCCTTAGCTCAACCTCCTTCCTCAAGACTCTTTAACTCAATTCCCAAACCCAACTCTCTTCTCCTCCTTCAGCTCCCAAGCTGAACTACCTTACTATCTAGATCTGTCTCTTAGCAAAATCCTGCTACAATAAAAATGTTGATGCTGTTGAAATCCTGTTAAAAACGGGCCATAAATCCTGCTAAATTTGACTCTGGTGGTCAGCATCAGCTAGAGGCACAAACACTGACATCACAGACTGGACTTCCCTACCTGAACTACAGACGGTCACACTAATCTACATATATATAGATCCCAACCTGTATCATAACCACAATTATCTACGGTTACCTAGCTACCATCTTCAAATAAAACTCTGACGCTGACCAAACTAATAAAATTCATAGCAAATTATATGTACACTTAAAACAATTAAACTGCTAATAAATGCATTACAATGACTATGAAAAACCAATAAAATGTCTTGGGGTCGGCATGAAAAATATAGGGTTTGTCGGGAAACGGGGAAACACAGGTATATTTTTATTTGGCTTTAATAGAAATTTAAAAAAGTAATTTGCTCACAAAACTGACCAATTGGGAATGTTTTAATTTCTGCTGAGTGACTGACCTCAAAATCTGTCCGAGTGATTGACCCCAAGACTCGATGGATGATGAGGGCTTCTTGTTCTTTTGAAATTGTAACTTTTTGACTGCAATCAAAATACACATCTTTATTATGAGCAATTGTTTACCTTTAATTCATGTTATAAGGGTATATTTTACTTTTTTAGTCGAATCCGAGCCAAACTAGGACTGAAGCCACTGGAGGTTAATTCAGGAGTGTCCAAAGGTACAGGTCAATTCTTTGAAGTTTTTATTCTGCTCAGGAAAATGTTGCTGTCTGTCGTAGATTAATCAGATGTTCACAGTCCTGTCTTCAGTAAAATGGCATTTAATTAATATTTGTCTACATTACCAAGACATTTCATAATATTTCACAGAACAACAATATTAATAAACACTGCTTAATTACACAGATACACTTGACTTGGTGTAAACAGAATAGCCTTATCAAATATTACAGAAGTACCATTTGTCTAGTCTACACACAGTATTACCAATTTTGTGCTTTGTAAAAGTAGGTCATAACACTAACAATATTTCTTTGAAGAGTGTACTTGAAGCTTATGGTTTATTTGAAACTTTGTTTTGCAGATAGTGAAAAAAAAAGTGGTGAAGATGTGCACAAGCCTGCCATTAGCATCACTCAGGAAAAACAAACGCAAAAGTTGCGTGAAAAGATGGAACGGATGAAGGAAAAGAGGAGACTTGGTGAAAAATTAAGGTAAATTATTGAAGTAAACAATACCAACAGTTTCCTGGTAAAATTTCTGTTATCTAGTTATGACTTGTTTTAAAAATCTGTATGGAAATTGATATTTGACAAGGTAGGTATCTAATTAGACCTTGAGAGACAATTCTAGTTAGATGTTGTGATATGATATTAACACAGTGCTGACATGACATAGCCGGGGATCTGATCTCTATAGAAAAGGACCTGGGCTTTGAGTTTGATCTATTGAAACAGCATACTAGATAAAAATGGACTAGTTTTCGGACAGTTAGTTCTATTTATAATAGAAAGATTTTGGTGCTTCAAAATCAATTTGGAGACAACAACAACAATGATATAAGTATATATATATAGAAAAAGACAAATTCTCAACAACGAGTCTGTAGTACTTTCATCTCCTCAAGTAGATTTTTCAGACTGTTTATTTGAAGTAGATGTTGTGATGTCATAAACTATGACGTCAAATAATAGTTCGCTATATCGCCGGATGCTATATGCGTACCCACCATAGCAATATCACAACAATAGAAATACATAAGTATGGCCTTAAGGTAAAGAGTACTATTTGTTTAGGATTTAGACTTACTAGTAATACTATTATTTAAAAAAAATAATCTCTGTGCAGAGTGAACTCGGGACCATCACATGACTGATCCAACACACTACTGATGTCACTACATCGGATCGATTATGGTGGTGCAAATTTACAAATATAACTCTTCTGTAGTCAAAGAAAAAATGATAAAAAACACTGATCAGAACTAATGTATGCACATCCTTTCAAATATACAGAAGTACTCGCTACCTTAAATGTTACAGGAAGTAAGAATATAATAAAATATAGTCAAACAGTACTGTTCAAGCGGGGTCTAAGAAGTCTGATGAATTTGTCATCAGCACAAGCGTGTATGTGTTAACTAACTGGTAAAAATCTTAAGCTGTCTGTTCATATTTGCTGTCTATGTACAGTCATCCTTGTTCGTAGCCCACTGCCCGTTTGACCGATATAAAATTCAAAACAATTGTTACAAATCAATTCATAAATTACATTACTAGACTTACAACTCATGTTTTTTAACCTTAAAGTTAAAACCATTTTGGAACGTAACATCACTTCCTTCTATAATTAGGTTACAAGTACCACAACGATGTGTATTACATTTTGATACACATGCATTTAGATGATTACTTTCAAACCTTGATCTAGTTAAAATACATTTAAAGATTTTTAGGTTGTCTTTTGCTGTTTATTAAAGCACAACGATCCAAAACTTTTTTCATACATTTTCTACCTCGTTTCAAATCTTCACATCTGTTCAGGATTACTGGAAATATATTAAATTTACGAGGGTTGAAAGTTGAAACAAATGGCATAATATCCATATTATCTACAACACGAGTGCGGTCTGTAAAAGGTCCCTTTTCAATTGCCATACTTTTATCTTTTTCAACAATACTCTCAGGATATCCTTGAGATTTCAAAAATGTAGTAAGTTCATCAAGCCTTTTCTTCATTGTAGTCTTATTACTCACTATAGTAACGATACGCGATGCTAAATTCAAAGGAATATTTACTTTAACATGTTAGGAATGGTTTGAGTAAAAATTCAGATAATTATGAGAATCTCTGGGTTTTGTATATAAATCAGTAGAAACAGTATTGTCTTTCAAAATGAAAAGCACATCCAAAAAGGGTAACAAAGACTCACTCACTTCCATAGGAAAACGAATAGAAGGGTGCAAACAATTATGCCCCCTAAAAAATCTTATATATATAGTGATGTAGTTTTTTAGACAGAAAAAATGTGATGTTTAATTTTAAAATTCTTTCAATGTTGCAGCAAAGTGAAAACACTGGGAGAAAGTGATTCGGAGGACGATATGGTTACCTGGGTGAGGAAAAACAGAAAAACAGAGAAAGACCGAGAAAAGGCAGAAAAGACTGTAAGTGTCTAGAGTGTTTTGTAAGCAGTATTCATAACTGTCAACATGTGGTGATTGATTGAACTTCAATGAAATTTAGAACAACAGCATACCTATCATTGTCACTATGTCACATCGTATCCAGTAAATACTGTATACCTGGACATTTTTCACTGCAGTTTAACTTTTGCCCATTTTAATTTCTGTAATGAGAGCAAATTTATCATTACAGCAAAATATTTGTAAACAACATAATACACATAGTAATACAATGTGAAGGGCAAATTTAATATTGGGAGAAAATGAATTTTACCGTGGAAGGACCAAAATTTGCTGGGCGAAAAACTTCCCTGTATACAGTATATTGGAGTGGGCTTTGTTATAACTAGAATAAGAATGTAAAGCACCATAACTAACTCAAAAGACATATGTAGGAAAGTATAAGCTTTAATAGCCTGTGAACCTGTAACCTTGTACATGGAAGTATTGGTCTGTGACATGTGCATGACTTCTTTAAACTAGTATCTTGGTTAAGAATTGGGAATATTTGTCGACATAATCGCAAAAGAATGAAAATATTTTATTGTTCTTTTTCTGTAGTTTGAAGATATCATGTCTTAATTTCATCTGACCAATGAGATGTCATGTGCATATGCATCATCTGGTAACATAATATTTATTTCGGTCAATGTTGTAAAATATGTGTGTTTGAATTGGGGAAATTAAACAGAAGATTTTCATCCTTAACTAGACCCTGAGGAATATTAAATATAGCCCTCATGTATCATAATCATGATCTTTATTTCTTTTGCTAAATTTATCAAAAGTCACTATACAAGGTATTTTGATTTTAAGATCCTTCAATGTTTCATTGTTAGTCAATAATCATATGACCTTTTTCTGCTTCTACAGGCAAAAATGTTGGAGGAGATGGACCAGGAGTTTGGTATTGGTAATCTTGTGGATGAGGAATTCAGTGTTAAACCTAGGAATGTAAGTAACACACAGCAAGCTGGGTCAAACTTGATGTAAACAAACAGTACTGTTCAGTAGAAAAACAATCCTATAAGAAATAGTTTACAAGATTTCTTAATAAATGAAATTAATCTATCTCATACCTATACAGGGGGTTTGTAGTATGTCTGTTAATTAATCTATCTCATACCTATACAGGGGTTTGTAGTATGTCTGTTAAATAATCTATCTCATACCTATGCAGGGTTTGTAGTATGTCTGTTAATTAATCTATCTCATACCTATACAGGGTTTGTAGTATGTCTGTTAATTAATCTGTCTCATACCTTTACAGGGTTTGTAGTATGTCTGTTAATCATGAAAGCATCTGTGGACTTCATGAAACAAATTTGACAGTTTTTTCAAATGATGCATACTGTTGTACTCAATGTATTTTATCTCTATGAATACCTTAAGTTTAACTTGAACTCACAACAAGGGATATATTGATTTCAGAATTACACCTCCAAGGACCTGAAGGGTCTGAAGGTACAGCACAACACAGAGCGATTCAAGGAGGGCAAGACAGTCATCCTGACACTTCAGGACAAAGGTTAGAAGTTGGTTAAGGTTGGAACATTGTCAGTGCTTTGTTCATTCTTTTACTCAGGGACTCACTTCCTCACAGCAGCTAATAACGTCATATGAAGACAATGCTGTTAGAATTTTATGTCCAGTTCAAGTTGATTTGTTGGTATCATTCTCAATCTTTGGGTAATACATGAACCCTTTTCCTCCACTGAAGCAAGAGTAGTGGTGTTGGTATAACTGTATATATCCATCACATACTCCAGATGTTATGCAGTGTATTTATAACATCAAATAAAATCCTGTTTTGTAATTTGTAACATCGCCTATTGTGATGTCACAAGGAACATTGGGAATATTGATTTTTTTTTTTTTAAATTTTGTCAAATTGATATTTAGTTTAAATATTCAAAAAATGTAAACTGTACATGTATGCTTTGTTTGAGTCGGAGATATAAAAAAAACCTCGGATTTCATATGATTTTTGTGGAACTCTTAAAAGTGTGGAATTTATCATACAAGTTGAAGGTTCCAAATATTGCAGACCTTCAGTGGTATATGCCTAGTCATACAAGACATGTAGTCTACATACTAACTAGGAGGACATTAATACTTTGGTTTCAAATTGTTACAAGGCCAGTGCCAACACCTAACATAAAATGGATATGATTATTATTGTATGTGATTCTCTACTGATTTTTAATCATTACACAGGCATCTTGGATGAAGACGGAGATGATACACTCATTAATGTCAATATGATTGATGATGAGTTCACAGAGAAAAACTTGGAGAATAAAAAGAAGAAGCCAGAGTATCAGCCTTACGATGAAGCTGATAAGGATGAGTACGGAACGGTGGGTACATGTTTTTGTGTCTGGTCACATTATTTCTACCAAAGCTGATAAGGACGCGTATGGAACGGTGGGAACATGTTATTGTGTCTGGTCACCTTATTTTTACCAAAGCTGATAAGGACGAGGATGGAACGGGGGGTGCATGTTATTGTGTCATGTCACCTTATTTCTACCAAAGCTGATAGGGACGAGTATGGAACGGTGGGTACATGTTATTGTGTCTGGGCACCTTATTTCTACCAAATCTGATAAGTACGAGTATGGAACGGTGGGTACATGTTATTGTGTCATGTCACCTTATTTCTACCAAAGCTGATAGGGACGAGTATGGAACGGTGGGTACATGTTTTGGTGTCTGGTCACCTTATTTCTACCAAGGCTGATAAGGACGAGTATGGAACGGGGTGTACATGTTATTGTGTCTGGTCACCTTATTTTTACCAAAGCTGATAATGATGAGTTTGGAACGGTGGTACATGTTATTGTGTCTGGTCACCTTATATCTACCAAAGCTGATAAGGACGAGTACGGAACGGTGGGTACATGTTTTTGTGTCTGGGCACCTTATTTTTACCAAAGCTGATAATGATGAGTTTGGAACGGTGGTACATGTTATTGTGTCTGGTCACCTTATATCTACCAAAGCTGATAAGGACGAGTATGGGACGGTGGGTACATGTTATTGTGTCATGGCACCCTATTTCTACCAAAGCTGATAAGGACGAGAATGGAAAGGTGGGTACATGTTATTGTGTCTGGGCACCTTATTTCTACCAAAGCTGATAAGTACGAGTATGGAACGGTGGGTACATGTTTTTGTGTCTGGGCACCTTATTTTTACCAAAGCTGATAAGGACGAGTATGGAACGGTGGGTACATGTTATTGTGTCATGTCACCTTATTTCTACCAAAGCTGATAAGGACGAGTATGGAACGGGGTGTACATGTTATTGTGTCTGGTCACCTTATTTCTACCAAAGCTGATAAGGACGAGTATGGAACGGTGGGTACATGTTATTGTGCCTGGTCACCCTATTTCTACCAGAGCTGATAAGGACGAGTATGGAACGGTGGGTACATGTTATTGTGTCTGGTCACCTTATTTCTACCAGAGCTGATAAGGACGAGTACCATACTGATAAGAGTGTTATCTTTACTCGTTTATCTGTTATTGTAGGGAGTTTCATTATCATGATTAATTCATCCTCATTCTTGGAGAGCAAAAGTATTAACTGGTGAGCAATAACAGTAAATCATTCCTAGGTTGCATTTGGTATCCAGGTTGAAACGGTTCAGGTGGCACAGAAACTTTCCTCGATTAATGAATGCACTTGGCTCGAACTGTACGCAGAGCAAAATTATGCACAGTTTTGGAGAACAAATGACAACATATCGATAATAATATGTCCTTCTTTCATGCGTCCACTTAATTATATAACATATCTTAAAATCTGCATGTGGATTGACCGTGTTTTTTTAAAGAAATAATGCAAACTAGCAATAGTCAGCATTGTGGTCAGGCACGTCTGGACCTCTCAATCTACACATACAAATATTCCTGAGGTCAGCCTCGGTTCAGATCTGTGTCTGTCGTTTTCTTTCAGGTTCAACTTTTCAACTGGTTGAACCGGATATGCAAAAGGAGCCCTATTTATATTTGTAGTAGTAAGTTGTGTCTTATGTATATAATGGGCAACCATGCCATAACAGAGAAAATATCTGCTGAAAACTCCTGATGTTTTAGGGGAAAATTAACAACATTTTAGAACTGCATAAGTGTTTCAGTTTTTGATTGTAATCATTTCATTTCGATGACAGAAAAACTGGCCTTCAACTAAGTGGATGTTTATGAAGTTTGTAATTTTTTCTTCATGCAAAAATTACCAATGTAAATTCACTTTTGTTGTAACTTTTTTATTTTTTATTTGTTTATTTGAAAATCTTACGACAAAACTGTTTCTTTTTCAGTTTAAACCTGTAAATGTTTTGGAGAAATATGATGAAGAAATTGAGGGTTCAAAAAAAGACAAATTTACACTAGAGTCAGGAGGGAAGTATGACACAGAGCAAGATAGACAGATGGAAAAAATACGAGAACAGCTTCAGCAACAGAGTGTAAGTATTAAACATCATCCCTCATGGTTAAGGTATCTACAGTTTGTTCAGTCTTTTTCATTAACCAACTTTTGTACAAAAGTTATAGGCCTGGGGTAAGTTTTAAGTGTAATTAATTGTGAAGAACTACTTGTATATTGAAACTGATGACAGCAAACTGGAGCCTTTTAAATGTTTGCAATCCTCATTGAATAAACAAAAAAATAAGAACTGAAATCAGGAACAAATCTTGGAAATGGAATGTATGCAAGCAGACTTCTGTATTTGAACTGAATCAGCAAAAAATCACTCCGATGCAACAAATGCAATTGTAATTTATCTAAGGAAATATGCTTTCCTTGTAAACTGCTTTATGATTAACATAACTGCTACTTCACAATACTGCTTGTCTTGTGTTATAGCATAGTCTTGGACTGGGAGTGTCTTTACACATGGCCAAAGAATACTTCACCCCAGAAGAAATGGTGAGTACATGTCTTTTGTATTTATTTCTTTGATCTTAAATTCATACCACTTGTCATGCTTCCTCACAGGCAGTCAGACCCCTATACGGGGGGATTGGCCGAGCAGTTAACACTCCGGCCTTTCACGCAGGAGGCAGGGGTTCAATTCCCGAAGTCGTCGTACACATGGAATATTCAGAGAAAGTTTTTTTTCTCCTGCTCACACAACTCCAACAACCCAGGTGGAGTATAAAACGGTCTGGGGTTGATGTTGTGGTATCTGTGCTGTCAAGTGAGGTGGCACTATAAATGATACCGTTGGAAGCACGGTCCCACTACGAACAAAACACAATACATCTCCAGCGCACACGCATGCATACATACACACAGGGAGATACTAGCCAGGTGGCATAGGACTAGTAGTTAGCGCCTGATAAGGCAGCTCCTGCAAATTTCTCAAAATTGTATTGATTAAGGTATATGCTAATTGTATAAATTGTATAAATTGTATATGTATATGCTAATTGTATAAATTGTATAAATGGTATATCTATGTACTGTAAAGCACTTTAGAGTGGCTTATTCTAGCTAGATAGGGCGCTATATCAAATGTTGTATATTATTATTATACACTTCCACTGAAGGTGCTGCATTGATCACATTGTCTGTATGAGCAGGCTACTTTAGACGTGTCGGTACTGTTAGCAAGTTCAGGTTACTGCCATCAATTTCATGAACCTTCTAATCACAAGCTTTTCCTGCACAGTTCTGATCACATGGCCATAATGATATAAATTTGTAAGTAATAACCCCCAAAACGAAGTTTATACCTCAAAACATGAATTTGTGTGCAATACCTCAAAAACTTATTTTATTACATGTTCGTACGTGCAAAGCATATAGTATGTTAATTCCCTCAAAGCATAAATTGCATGTAATTATTTTTAAAACATAAATTATGAAACTTTTCTAAGCACAAAGTAATTTCTTATTATTACAGGCAGCAAAAGCCTCTTTTAAGAAACGGAAGAAAAAAGATAGAAAAATCCGAAAGAAGCAAGTGTTTACAGCAGATGACCTTCAACCCCTGGAAGATGATTCAGCTGATTTTGGTTCAAGGTAATTGTCATAAATTGTCCAGGCTCACTGGTTACACATTATACATAAACTAAGATCTTCTAATAAGCAAGTTTAATTTCATACGCTACAAGCCTTTTTGCGGTAATATCTTCCTTTAACATATTGAATGAATTCAGATTTACATTAGTGCAAGATCATGACTGTAAAATTTATCTCAATTTCCAGACTTAAGGCTCAATCCATCTGTTTTCTCTTCCAAGAGACACTTTTATCCTTTCTCCCTTTCATAAAAAATAATTAATCAGGGTCTCCAATAAACAAGGATCTAAGGTTCAATAAGAATATTACTAATTGTATTTGATCATCAGTTGCTACTGTTTATCATTGTGTTTTAAGTTTATTCTTTAGGGATCCTAAAACATACCATCTTAAATTCATGTACTTAGACTTATCTTAATTATTGTGTGATATTTTCTGTGTTGCTTATCCAGATCTCGTGGACAAGGGCGACAAGAAGTGCCAGAAGTAAAGCCAGAAGCAGAACAGTCCTGGTACGACACATCTCAGCCAACAGATGCAGGCCTGTCCATGGCTCCAGTAGTTATTGACTACGGCCATCAACATATTATTCCAGGGCTGGACATTCCAGTTGTGAAACAAGAAATCATGGAGACTGAGCCTGTCATTGTGCCAGATGAGGGTAAGAGGGATAAGATCATTTCTCATAGTCTTGATTGTTCAATAATTTGTCACACTCCTGAAACATATGTGATGTTAAAAACCTAAAGTTAGATAACCTTTATATACCCTGCGTATTTGATCCTCCTGCATGTTTTGTAAAAAGAATAATATATTATACCAGTGAAGGATCATAATGAGTGACTACCCTTGGTTTTATTTTTTACAAAATCTGAGATTTTCTTACACATCCTCTGTTTAATAGTGGACATTGAAGATATCTTTGTTGTGCTGCATCCTTATCTCTATCTATTTTTAGCTCACAGGGTCCGAAGGACCAAGGTGAGCTTATGCCATACTGTGGCATCCGTCGTCCGTCCGTCGTCAGTTGTCTGTCAAAATTGTACAAATGGTGGGTCTGACCCCACAGGGGGCTGAGGGGCGAGCCAAAATGGGGCAATTTGGCTATATTGCTTTAAGCAACTTCTTAAGAACTAAGAGATGGATATCAGCCATATTTGACTTGAAGCATCCCTAGGTAGTGGAGATTTAAAATTGTACAAATGGTTGGGCTGACCACCCAGGGGGCTGAGGGGTGGAGCCAAAAGGGGTCAAATTGGCTATATTGCTACAAACATCTTCTTCTGTAGAACTATGCACTGGATATCAATCATATTTGATCAAAAGCATTCATGGGAGGCAGGGATTCAAAATTGTTCAAATGGTGTGGCTGACCCCCCAGGGGGCTGAGGAGCTGGGCCAAAAAGGGTTATTTTGCTATATTACTTTAAGCGACTTCTTCTCTGGAACTAATAGATGGATATCAACCATATTTGACTGGAAGCATCCCTAGGTGGTCGTGATTATTAATTGTACAAATGGTGGGGCTGAGGGCGGTGCCAAAAGGGGGCAATTTGGCTATATTGCTATAATTGACTTCTTCTGCAGAACTATGCCATGGATATCGATCATAGTTGGTCAGAAGCATTCATGGGAGGCAGGGATTCAAAATTGTATAAATGATGGGGCTGACCCCCCGGGCTTAGGGGTGGGGCCAAAAAAGTTTATTTCTTGGAAATGGTTGAGATCCCCACCATATAACCATATATACAATTGCTGAATATAAAGAGAAGAATGCACATTTGCTTCCAGGATGGCCCTAGGGTCTGGCCCCACCCTTGGAGACATAGTCCCTGGGTCATAACTTTGAAACAGTTGAGATCCCCACCCCAGAACTATATATATAAATGCTGGGCATAAAGAAACGAATGCAGTCATGATATTAGAATAGACCCTTGGGTCTGACTGAACCCCTAGGGACCTAGTTTCTTAGTTTTTATAAATGATCTTCTGTTTTTCACAAAGTCATAGTATAGATCAGCTGAAGGAAACCAAATTTTATGTTTAATTAAAATTGTGACATAACACTCATGAATCTGATTGCTCTAAAAGGGAAACATGAAACAATGTCTTATGTTTATCAGAACTTTCTCCAAAATTCTCTAAAAATTCAACTTAAGTTTACATATTTCTGAATGGTCTTCTTCTTTTATACCAGATGAATTAAATGAACCCAATGAAGACTTGTCGAGTGTACCGTTTCTGGAGGATGAAGCTGAGAATGAATTACAGAGTGCTTTGTCAAAGGCACGGCGAATCAAACTGACAAAAGACAAGTCTAAGATACTGAAGGTTGGTATCGTATAGAACACAGGATTTACATTTAATTATCATTTTGGGAGTCATTTGCTATTTATTTTGCTATGTGAATTATGTTACTACATTGTACTAGCTCATTAGTGAGAAAACCTATATCTGCAGCAATTCCTTTAATGTAAATGGGTTTAAGAACTGCTTCAAAAGCCCAAGGCCTAAAACTGTAATAAGTTGTTGAATGTTGAAAATGTGCAGCAAATTACAAAGTTGATCATGGCTGGGTACCATTGAAATCAGAATGGTCTTTGATGGGTTGATGAAATTCGTCTTGAACATTGGAAGGGAGTTTTGCTGTTGATAGGTGACCAAGTATTAAAGGAGAGATTTTCTTCTTACAGATGACTGAGTTTGTGATTTTCTTTTGACGGTATGGGATGTATTTTTGACAGGTAGCAGCTCAGATTGCCGAAGAGCGAGCCATCAAGATAGAACAGGAAATGGATGATGATAAGGAGGAGACCAACATAGTACTCAATTCGACATCCGAGTTTTGTCGGACACTTGGCGACATCCCCACCTACGGTCAGTCCGGTAACCGTGACGAGGAGAAGGAAGAACTCATGGTAGGTACAAATTCATATTTGCTAAATACTTCTGACATTAATCAATATTATACCAAAGTACTTGTATTTTTAATGAACCAAGTTTTTGGTAAAGTATGAATTTGAATCTCTTTTACACAATTTATTTATCTTCACACAGGATTATGAACGAGAGCTCATGGAAGACAGGAAGAGACAAGAGGAGGAAGAAGCAACTGGATGGAACAGAGTTGAGATTGACGAAACGCCCGTGGACATTCAGGTGGGTGACTAATTTCTAATTTCTAATTTCTGCTGAGTGAGATCTAACAGAGTGATAGTACATAGTTTCTGCTGGGTGAGATCTAACAGAGTGACAGTACAGAGTTTGTGTTGGGTGAGATCTAACGGAGTGACAGTACATAGTTTCTGCTGGGTGAGATCTAAAAGAGTGACAGTACATAGTTTGTGCTGGGTGAGATCTAACAGAGTGACAGAACATAGTTTCTGCTGGGTGAGATCTAACAGAGTGACAGTACATAGTTTCTGCTGGGTGAGATCTAACAGAATGACAGTACATTGTTTGTGTTGGGTGAGATCTGACAGAGTTACAGTACATTGTTTCTGCTGGGTGAGATCTAACAGAGTGACAGTACATAGTTTGTGTTGGGTGAGATCTAACAGAGTGACAGTACATTGTTTTTGCTGGGTGAGATCTAACAGAGTGACAGAACATAGTTTCTGCTGGGTGAGATCTAACAGAGTGACAGTACATAGTTTGTGTTGGGTGAGATCTAACAGAGTGACAGTACATTGTTTCTGTTGGGTGAGATCTAACAGAGTGACAGTACATAGTTTGTGTTGGGTGAGATCCAACAAAGTGACAGTACATAGTTTGTGTTGTGTGAGATCTAACAGAGTGACAGTACATAGTTTGTGTTGGGTGAGATCTAACTGAGTGACAGTACATTGTTTCTGCTGGGTGAGATCTAACTGAGTGACAGTACATTGTTTCTGCTGGGTGAGATCTAACTGAGTGACAGTACATTGTTTGTGTTGGGTGAGATCTAACTGAGTGACAGCACATTGTTTCTGCTGGGTGAGATCTAACTGAGTGACAGTACATTGTTTCTGCTGGGTGAGATCTAACTGAGTGACAGTACATTGTTTCTGCTGGGCATGGTCTTACAGCACACTGTTATACTGTAGTTGGTGATACTACCATGTACACTACCGGTATATTCTATTATTCAGTTTATCGCTTTGTAGTCCATTAATTAACAATTGCTCCATAACTTAATGTATATTTTCATTGTCTTTATCAAGCTGCATAATTTAAGACATCTTTATCTTTTTGTTTTTTTAGAGAATTCCAAAATAGATGGATATTTTCTTTAATTCATATATTCAAACGATTATGGTATCTAGCAGTATCATTATGTATCTTTTATAAATGTAAAGGTAAGCATTGTGTATAACTTTTTTGCTATGATGTGTAAAGGGAGAGGAGAAGGCCGTCTTGGATGATGAACCATTGGTAAACCAGGGTGTTGGGGCTGCACTGGAGCTGGCAATGAAAAAAGGTATGTGTTTATTGTCTCCACCAGGATCAGCGTACCTTTAGTCATTCTGTAG